ATATCAGTGTTCACTGCTTCATGATTTTTCTTTGCCTCCTCACCTCTTCCTGAGAAGCTTGTTACAAATCTGACCAAACCATAAATATATACACTGTCTTCCATAGCATGTCCTTCAATACTTCATTTCCAGAGGCAATAAACTCCATTTTTTCCCCCAACGGTTTTCCAGGATCAGTGACTTAAAATGAAGAAAACAAAAGAACTAGTGAAATAGAGGATATATTTACTTACCCTTGAAGTTGTTGCTGTATTTTGTGCTTTCCCACTTGTGGATCCCCTTGGCAGCTTTAGCAGATCAGCAACAGAGCAAAAACATTCTGGGGCAGGAAGGTGGCTCTCACCCAGGCAATAAGAAAGCTCTTCCCTGGAGCTGTGAATGGAGGCAAATTAATGCTGATCAATATTTACAACAAAGTGATTTGAACTCGATGATCTTTAAGGTCCCTTCCAACTCTATCCATTCTATGATTCTATGATTCTATAAGGACTTGTGTAATAGAAGGCGATCAATATTCACAACAAAGTGATTTGAACTTGATCATCTTTAAGGTCCCTTCCAACTCTAACCATTGATTCTATGATTCTGTAAGGACTTGTGTAATAGAAGGCAATATTAGTAGAATATCTCCTCAGAGAAGCCCTTTCTCAAAGCATAGCAGATGGGATGAGGACACCAACGAAGTTGTGAGAGACAGCGTGAAAAATAATGAAGGGCAGAAAGAATGAGGGTTGAGATGTGTGACAAGAAGTATTTTTAGCAGAAATGGACTATCCACAGCGCTTCAGTTCTGCTGACTGTAAGGAAAATGCAACCCTTTTTGTTGTTAAAAGCCACCCACATGATAGTGCAATGATTTAAAATCAATGAAATTACAGGTTTTGTGAAAAATGAGGGCAGATAGACTGTTTTTATTAATTTATTCATTTTCCCTTAATGGATTCCACTTGCCAATTTATTGTTGCTGGTCTCCAGCAGCCTTTGCTGGCTGTGTGTGGGTCCTACTGTTCTGGTTTGAGCTTCTGGCTGGCTGCATCCATTATAGAAAGAGAGCAAAAGAGCCAAGTCCCAGTTGTGAGTCAAATACTCATCATCCGGTGAAAGCTCCTGGCTGTGCAGCACCAGGCAAATATTTGAGGAAGAAAATTATAGGTTGTAAAGGATGGTTGATCCGTGTTTGCTTAGAAACTGAAATGTATATGTTGATTTTGTTCAGATAGAAATATTAAATAAACAGATACCACCTGATCAGCCTGGGTCCCAGCTCTGCACCTCGGCGCGCAGCCCCATTTTAGGGCACCTTTAGGGAGGTTTCCTGGTTTACATTCTCTATGGGACTTGCCTTGGAAAGGTGTAATGGATCTAAGCACCAGACTAAGGGAAAAAAAACCCCAAACAAACAACAAAACAAACCACAACCAATAAATGGATTCTCTTCCTATTCACAAGGGCACAAAAAGGCAGAGAAATAACCCACAAACCACTTGGAAAAGGGGCAGATTTAGAGAGGGGGCTTTATCAGCCTCTAAGTCTCATGCCTTGCTCTGCAGCTCCACGGCCTGAATTGTGGGTCTCCTTGTGAGCTATAAAGCTCTGTCCTTTTGCTTTCCCCCAGTGCAGCTTCTTCCTTTAAATCTTGCAACAGAAATACCGTGCTTTGACAAATTCTGAGTTGTGATGAAAGTGGAGAGCTCAGTGATGCTCATTCTTCACTGCCCGTGTGCTTTGTAAACCAATTCACATTGAGGAAGGGAAACCAAAGCGGGTGCAGAATTTTACTCTGATCTGAAAGCGAGGTAGGAAAGACAAGAAATGAGGGTCCCTGGCTTTTATCTCTTTAAATTTCATATCTGGAGCATTACAGATATCAGTGTTCACTGCTTCATGATTTTTCTTTGCCTCCTCACCTCTTCCTGAGAAGCTTGTTACAAATCTGACCAAACCATAAATATATACACTGTCTTCCATAGCATGTCCTTCAATACTTCATTTCCAGAGGCAATAAACTCCATTTTTTCCCCCTAAGGTTTTCCAGGATCAGTGACTTAAAAAGAAGAAAACAAAAGTACTAGTAAAATAGAGGATATATTTACTTACCCTTGAAGTTGTTGCTGTATTTTGTGCTTTCCCACTTGTGGATCCCCTTGGCAGCTTTAGCAGATCAGCAACAGAGCAAAAAACGTTCTGGGGCAGGAAGGTGGCTCTCACCCAGGCAATAAGAAAGCTCTTCCCTGGAGCTGTGAATGGAGGCAAATTAATGCTATAATAATCTGATGCATAATTTAGTGTCGGGGGTGGTGGTGGGATTTGTTAGTCTGAAGTCGGAAATGTATGATCGTCAACAGTGCTTCTTCAACGGATTTTTGGGAAAGCCTGGTGTGTTTGAAGGATTCCCAACTGGGTGTCTGGCCACCAGTCCCCCGGGGAAACTGGTAAAAGTAATTTTAGTCTAAAACTTGAGGCAAGTGATAGGTTGCTTCTTTGCATAGCTGGGTAAAATGAAAGGGGAAATTTTGTTTTTCCATGATCCAGTGGATGATGAAAAATGTATTTTGAGAAAAAAATGAAATTAATTCATTAATCGATCAATATTCACAACAAAGTGATTTGAACTTGATCATCTTTAAGGTCCCTTCCAACTCTAACCATTGATTCTATGATTCTGTAAGGACTTGTGTAATAGAAGGCAATATTAGTAGAATATCTCCTCAGAGAAGCCCTTTCTCAAAGCATAGCAGATGGGATGAGGACACCAACGAAGTTGTGAGAGACAGCGTGAAAAATAAAGAAGGGCAGAAAGAATGAGGGTTGAGATGTGTGACAAGAAGTATTTTTAGCAGAAATGGACTATCCACAGCGCTTCAGTTCTGCTGACTGTAAGGAAAATGCAACCCTTTTTGTTGTTAAAAGCCACCCACATGATAGTGCAATGATTTAAAATCAATGAAATTACAGGTTTTGTGAAAAATGAGGGCAGATAGACTGTTTTTATTAATTTATTCATTTTCCCTTAATGGATTCCACTTGCCAATTTATTGTTGCTGGTCTCCAGCAGCCTTTGCTGGCTGTGTGTGGGTCCTACTGTTCTGGTTTGAGCTTCTGGCTGGCTGCATCCATTATAGAAAGAGAGCAAAAGAGCCAAGTCCCAGTTGTGAGTCAAATACTCATCATCCGGTGAAAGCTCCTGGCTGTGCAGCACCAGGCAAATATTTGAGGAAGAAAATTATAGGTTGTAAAGGATGGTTGATCCGTGTTTGCTTAGAAACTGAAATGTATATGTTGATTTTGTTCAGATAGAAATATTAAATAAACAGATACCACCTGATCAGCCTGGGTCCCAGCTCTGCACCTCGGCGCGCAGCCCCATTTTAGGGCACCTTTAGGGAGGTTTCCTGGTTTACATTCTCTATGGGACTTGCCTTGGAAAGGTGTAATGGATCTAAGCACCAGACTAAGGGAAAAAAAACCCCAAACAAACAACAAAACAAACCACAACCAATAAATGGATTCTCTTCCTATTCACAAGGGCACAAAAAGGCAGAGAAATAACCCACAAACCACTTGGAAAAGGGGCAGATTTAGAGAGGGGGCTTTATCAGCCTCTAGTCAGTCAGTGGATTGCGTGGATTACGGAATTACCTGTGGTAATTGTGTGAAGGCTCTCTGTTTCTAGAATAGTTGCATTATAGTAAGTAGTAAGTTTGAGTGCCTGCCACATCCACTTTTCTCCCATAATTTCAGCTTTATTTTGACACAGGCAGAAGTTCCAGAATGGGAGCTCCAGGGCTCAGATGCTGGTGCAGACTCTTCTTCATATTCATTTTCATTCTACTCCCAAGTAGAACCTGATGAATAATGATCAGACAGATTAAAACTACCCACATATTAAAATACAGATTTCTCTTTTTTTGTTAGGACACACCCCATTGCTTTCAGCCAGCCCTGGAACAGAACGATTCTCTGTCCATTTGCAGGTTATTTTCTGATCCATCTGCTTATAGGTCTGAAAAATATCACCAAATCAACACTTTAAGCTGTTTTCGTCCATCCTGTTCTTATTTTCCTGGAGGAAAAATGTTGTTGCTTGTTAAAATGCTATTTTTTTGATCAGCAAAATTATCGATACACATCATACATCTTGGGGTCGAGAAGTGTTTGAGGTTTTTTGGTTTGTTTTCATGCTGTTTCATGCTGGAAATCAATACAGTCTATATTTCTACAGTATTTCCTCTGGTTATTAGTGTCATACCTTGTGCTGCTGGTATGTATTTAAGCAGTAGATCCTATGAAGAACTTTAGCAATAATGACATAATGTCCACTGTTTATTCAACATTACATGTCCACCGTTAAATTATTGAACCAGAATATGTTCCCATTGATTGCTGTGAAGGTGATATGTGTATCAGTAAATCAAAACAAGCTTTAAAAAGATAGAAAATCAATTGATATGAGGAATAGGAAAGACATAGATATTTAAACCTTTCTCATAACCTTGGCTGGTTTTTGTAACTCTAATCTAACTCTTTGAGCTGTGGTGGGTTGGTTTGGTTTTTTTTTCCATATCATTGCTTTGACTGAAAATGACTGATGTGCAAAAAATGGATGCCTAAGCAGAGCAACAGTGCACCTCGGCAATAAACTCGGTGGGTTGGTTTGGTTTTTTTTTTTCCAAATCATTGCTTTGACTGAAAATGACTGATGTGCAAAAAATGGATGCCTAAGCAGAGCAACAGTGCACCTCGGCAATAAACTTGTAAACAACTTTTGATAGAAATAAAATGCTGATTTCTATTTATTAACTTGCTGAAATGCAGTTTTCAAAGCAAGCATTTTGCAATGTATTATGTGTCATAAGTATATTTCCAAAACCAGGTAACATAAATGGTGGTTCCCTTCTGGAGAATGCACTTACATATATATAAAAAAGTTTTTAAAGCTTGCGATTTAGGAATAATAAAAATATTTAGTAACATTTTGCTCTAATTAATTTTGTTTACAGAATTGCTACCCAAATGCCAACAGATGAATTGCCAGTACAAATGTGCCATTACCAGGAATGGCACCAGGTGTTACTGCGGAGACGGATATGAAACGAGCGGCGATGGAAGGAGCTGCACAGGTAGGCAAGAAACAGGCTGTGACGTTAACACCTGGGTATCCTCATCGGGCCCTGAGGGCTGTTGGGGGCAGAAAGCTGGGGTTGGGCTGGTAAACATAGAGCTGCTTCATAGAATCATAGAATGGGTTGGGTTGGAAGGAACCTTAAAGATCATCAAGTTCCAACCCCCCTGCCATGGGCAGGGACACCTCCCACCAGACCAGGTTGCTCAAAACCCCATCCAACCTGGCCTTGAACCCCTCCAGGGATGGGACATCCACAACTTCTCTGGGCAACCTGTTCCAGTGTCTCACGGCTCTCAGAGTTAAGAAGTCCTTGCCCATTCAAAGGTGTTCCTCAGGGGTGAGCACAGGCTTGTGGAGTAGAAAGGGGGAAATAATTCCCCTCTGAAATGAGAGTTGGGGCCTCCTCTTTGTTGCCCCACTGGTAGCTCTTCTGAAGTTCCTGGGAGGAAAGCATCCCCAGCCAGACCAGAGGAGGTGGGCAGTGTTTCCTGCTGCTCAGATGAGTTTACAGCTCATTTGTGCGAGCTGCTCTCCAGAGCTCACTACCAGGAGACCCTGGAAAACTTGTAGCATTTCGCCTCATGCCCATAAAGTCACACCTAGATTAGAATTTGATAAATGAACACTCCCAGATCATACAACTTAGCTGGGAATGTTATTTCGGCATAATTAATTGTAGAGTGAAATTGCTGTTCTTTTCCATTTCTGAAATATATGACTTCTTAATTCTCTATCCAGGTATTTGTTTCTTGTTTTATTTTTTCTCTTTTTATAAGCAGATTGGAGTTGTGTTGCCTTATGTATGTGCTCACTACCAATCACTCCTCTCTCCAAGTAATAGTGCTAAGCCAGATTCTACATAAATATAATTTATTATAAGTTCTTTGGCTCTATGTCTGTCATGTTTTCTGATTGAAAATATATCTAAGGAAATAATTTCAACAGCGGTTTTTAAAAATGTCAATTTATTACTTAAACCCTCAACCACTGTTAAATAGCATATCTTGATTTTATGGTATTATGCCTATATACCCTAGTTGAGAAAATTGTTCTTTATATTTATTAGAGAAATATGTAGGTTTTGATGTATTGGATGATGGTTTAATGTAGAAGTTGTGACAGTTCATTTAAGGAACTATAAGACATTGCCAGCATAAATAGGTTGAGAAGGATAATCAATTATTTCCTGTCTTGAAACGTTGCTTCATTCATCAACCCCGATAACTAGTGGTCTCTAGTACTAACAAGGACCCAAATCTCTCCCTAACATGCTGTAGACATCGGGTACTACTTGAACAAATGTTTCATCTTTCAAATTTAATAGCTATTAAACTTGAAAACTCCCAGCTTCCTGTTTGATTACTGGAGCAATTTCAACAGGCAACGTCTGTGATAAGGTCATGGCTTGAGAAAAGGAAAACATAGTGTTGTACGATAATGACTTAACGACTTAAACTTTTCTGGTAGAATTCTGATTTATTGTTGAATTTTTTTAATTATTTTTTTTCCTAATCCTTAAACAACATCTTGTTAATGTCCCTTTAGATGTGAATGAATGCAACATGTACGGAAGCTGTAGCCAGACGTGTATAAATACAGATGGATCGTACACTTGCAGCTGTGTGGAGGGTTATGTCCTTCAGCCTGATAACAAATCCTGCAAGGCCAAAAGTGGTATGTTTTAACATCTTCTTACCTTATTTTGGTATGAGATTTTGTGTTTTGGTCCTACCTAGAGGATGGATATGAAAAGATAGAGAGAGATGAACACAGGAGAGGTGATTTTTCCTTTCCTGTGCTACGAAGAGCCACACAACAACCACAGAACAACTTTTCACATATTACAACAATACTCCAAGGGAAATATTAGAAGTTATTATATGGTTATTATTAATTAAAGTGAAATACTCAATTCAGCCAAGATGAGAACAGTTCCCAGTTTCCCTGTTCATAAATAAATCAAAGATTTTCCTCACACAAACAAAATAGGCTGTTTAGTCTGGGAAGACAATGGAGGTAGTGGGAAGGCAGAGGAAATGATTGGGAGGTAATTGTAGCCATAGGATTAAAAAAGACATGAGATTGCTTTGTCCTTGCAATATCCCAAGAGGTGAATTTCATTATATACATATTCAAACTAGGCTTTTTGCTACTTAGTGCATGTTTTCATTAGTAATAGTAGATTGAGTATTTGAGGAAATTAGCGAATTGTGTTTAATGAAGCAGTATTGTACACAGTATTTTCTTACTCAGCATATTGAATTAACAGGGCTTTTATATTAAAAAAAAATCCCAAAAGCTCCTCAGGCAATTATTCAACATCCACAGTGATTCAAAACCCAAGTAAAAAAGCTGTGTTTGTTATATACTTTTTGAGTCTTCCTTTTTGTAGTTCTTTTCCTACCAGAAAATAGGAAGGCCACCTGGTTTTTTTGAGGCTTCCTCCCATAAAGAGCATTGCTAAATCTGTTCTGACTTGAGCAGCAGTAAGAGTTGCAGAGCTTTTTACTGCTTGTACCAAGTTTTGTATTGATTCACACAGCCTAGCTGAGCATTTTTTAAAAAAAATCGCCAGCAAAATATTGTGAGATGAGAAAGTCCATACAAAGTAAAAGTGTTTTGATATTCTTCTGCCTCCGCTACATGAAAATCAGTAAGGCAATTCTAGATCAGGAAATCCTCATGGTGCCAGCACTGGGCTTGAGTTGAGCTTTTGAGTTTCCCTTCTTAGATCCAGCAGACTGTGGAACAACTGAGTGCTGTAGTGATCTGTCAGTATCTTGGTGGCGTTGATGAAATGAATCAGATTCACAGAGAAGAGCTACTCATCCGTCTTTTGTAATACTTCATCGTGTCTGTTTTAGGGTAGTTTTCACCTTTTCTGTTATTTTCAGAGGGGAATCACTAGTCATTAATCAGAGAAGTCACTGCAGGACAGTACAGAAATCAAGATCACGGTGCTGCAAAGAAATGGGTGTTGCTCATTGCATTTATTTTTTTGTGTGTGTGTAAACACAACTTTTCCAATTAATGATGGATTAAATTATCAGTGTGATGAATATTTTGGTCAAATAATTCATAGAGTGCAGGGGTCAAAAAGACACCTGGTACAGTAAGAAGGTGCTTTTATAGCAGAGCTCTGGAAGAGCTGCAGTGATTTGTAAGAGTTTGTGTTGCTTCACTGGTCCCATCTTACAGTTTGGAAAACAGTGAAGTTTCCATGGACCAACAGGTCACTCTCCTCACCCTTTCATAGCTTCACTGATCACAGACTGCTCTTGACAAGTTTTGACCTTGTGGGATGAGTTTTGAGCAGCAGACTGCTCTTCACAGGTTTTGACCTTGTGGGATGAGTTTTGAGCAGGGACAAAACCAAGGTGTGGCCCTGAACAAATAGATTGGTGACAAATATCCAAAACATGTAGTGAACCACAAGTCAAAAATGAGTCAATGTTGTCCCATTGCACGAGTGCGGAGATACTACCCTGGTATGACAGGATGAGGGGGAGTGGCTTCAAATTGGAAGAGTTTAGATTTAGGTTAGATCTCAGGAAGTAATTTGTTACTCTGAGAGTAGTGAGACACTGGCCCAAGTTGCTCAGAGAAGTTGTGGATGCCCCACCCCTGAAGGTGTTCAACGAGCACCCTATGTTGGATGTGGCTTTGAGCAACCTGGTCTAATGGGAGGTGTCCCTGCCCATGGCAGGGGGGCTGGAACTAAATGACTTTTAAGGTCCATTCCAACTGAAACCGTTCTATGACTTCTATGTATAAGTAGCATTATTGCTCCCAAGATGTACAAAGAAATCCTGCTACTTACTCAACACTGGATACTCTTCAGCTGGGATGACATCCAGTGAGGGGCATTGCACAGGGACAAACCCAAGGTGTGGCCCTGAACAAATAGACTGGTGACAAATATCCAAAACATGTAGTGAACCACAAGTCAAAAATGAGTCAATGTTGTCCCATTGCACGAGTGCGGAGATACTACCCTGGTATGACAGGATGAGGGGGAGTGGCTTCAAATTGGAAGAGTTTAGATTTAGGTTAGATCTCAGGAAGTAATTTGTTACTCTGAGAGTAGTGAGACACTGGCCCAAGTTGCTCAGAGAAGTTGTGGATGCCCCACCCCTGAAGGTGTTCAACGAGCACCCTATGTTGGATGTGGCTTTGAGCAACCTGGTCTAATGGGAGGTGTCCCTGCCCATGGCAGGGGGGTTGGAACTAAATGACTTTTAAGGTCCATTCCAACTGAAACCGTTCTATGACTTCTATGTATAAGTAGCATTATTGCTCCCAAGATGTACAAAGAAATCCTGCTACTTACTCAACACTGGATACTCTTCAGCTGGGATGACATCCAGTGAGGGGCATTGCACAGAGCAGATGGGGCTGAGTAGAACAGAATCAAGAAAAAAGGTGTCTTAAGGGAAAAAAAAAAGAGCACTTAGAGAAGTTATCAACTTTTTCTTCCTTAAAAGGCCTATAGGAAATTAGGATGGAAAGAGCAAGCTATCCGCTTTGTCTACATTTGACGAAGTAGTTGTCAAATAGATAAAGAAAATGAGCTAAGGAATATTCTGTTCTGTGTGTAAAAGCTGCGGAAGATAAGAAGCAGCGGTAGAGGTTTAGGTCAGGTTAGGCATTATGTAAAACTGTCAATGTTAATAACAGTGGATCTGCTAAGAATATGAATTTCTGTCCATGCTGAGATCCCAGATATGGAATACCAAACCAGCAGCCCTTCGCCACACCTTAGTTTCTTCTCTGTAAAATTGGGTGGGAGGTTTCTGAATAGAGAAGTGGGGGACGCGGTGGAGACCCCAGTTGCAGAAGGTGCTGAGCAGGTGGTACGTGTGGCACGGGTCTGGAGGAACCCTGCCCCAGTGGAGGGGATGGGTGTGGTGGCCAATGGAGATCACCAGCAGCTCTTGCACAACCATCCTTCCCCACGTGGGATGGAACAATTAGCAAAGAAGTTCACAGAAGCAACTTTTTTCCTCCCCTTCAGGCAGCCAAGTGCTTGGCTGTGAAGGTGGTAAGGTTTCTCCCTCATTAAATTCTGCATTTTCTTCCTCAGCTCATTTAAATAACTTTGGAGCCGGAAACTTTTAGCTGCACGGTACCTTTGGGAAGGACGTTCAAATAGGTATCAAAACAGCTGGGGGCACACCATGGGTTTTTTCCAGACTTTTTAACCACATTTTCTTTTATGAATAAAGAAGCATTTAATGACTTCTTCCGAGGTGAAAATGAAACAAAATAGAGCTTGGCTGAACAGAGTTTCAGAACTTCTTTGTTTACCAAGTTTGTATGCCTGTATTGCAAGGTCTGCATTTGATGAAAAGAATATTTAAGGAAACAAAATGAGAGAATTGGAAATCTTTAGCTGAGGGGAAAAAAAACCCTCATCTTTCCTCCCAAAAGTTCCTCGTATGTTTTCTATCTTGGAAGCCTATCTAGAGAGAAATGCCATTCGATAAGAAACATTTGTCATGTAGATAAAGCAGGGTGAAACTGATAATGATTAAAGCAAAAAGATTTTTCTGGTATTTAGTAAACATTCAGTGTTCTTAGATTGATTTCACAACATGGTTTTCTTGCAAAAACTCACAGAACTAAGTTTTGAGGTTTTAGAAATAAAGCAGCCCATCTGTGGGACATATCGTGGATAAACATTGAAAGTTAATTTCCAAGTAAAATTGGACTCCATTTTATTCTACACTACTAGATATTTTTTCGGACTTCTATACAATAGACATGTTACTAAGAGCAAAGTACTTATAATTTACAATGCCTACCTCAGGAGAAGGGTTTTTAAGCTGCTTGTAAACACTGTTTTCTGGGTTTTATCCTTTTCATATCATTGTAGTGGAAAAAAAATAAATTGCCAGCATTTCTGAAGCTTTTCTTCCAGAGGAGAAGTAGGACTGTTGGCAGAGCAAAACGCCTTAGTTTCTGATTTGTTGTGACATCACTTATTGAGCTGTATTTTAGACAAGATC